CGTGGCGCTTCTCAGACGTCCTCCATTGCAGGAGCGGTGTGGCGCGGAGGTGGGAGGCGGGTTTTGGGGGTGAGACCGCCTGGTGCAAACACCGGTGGGTGTGTAACTTGCTGGCTTTGGGTTCTTGGGCCTCCAGCCCCTCCCCTGTGAGCTGTGGGCAGGGCCATGGCGATGACCGAAGAGCAGAGCAGAGGCTCCAGAACAATGGGTTTGGGAGGCTGAGGCCGGGGTCTTCCACCCGCTGAGAGGCCCAGGGCAACGCACATGACCTCTGCAATTCACTGTCCTCCTCTGCAAAATGGGGTAATAGCAGTGGCTCCCTCGGAGTCACACTGAGGAGTGGCTGGGAGGTGGCTAGGAAAGAACTGAGAAAAGACCGGCAAGAGGGCAGCGTGGCTGTGAGGGGGCGGTGCTGGGGCCCCTCAGGTGACTCCCCTGCCTTGTCAGCTGTGTGCCTCGGCCAGGGACAGATGTCACCTCGTGTCTCAATCGCCTCATCTTAAAATGGGAATAGGAATCATAATAATATGTGCCTGTGGGTTTAAAAATAGACTTAAATAAGAAATTATATGTCAAGTGTTTAGAAGAGCACCTGCCGTCTGATGAGTGCTCTGTAAGTACTCGTTGTTGCTGGGTCAGGTCTTGCCTGCTTCCTCTCCCTCTCTGGGAGTCTGCAGGGTTTCCTGCTCCTCTCTGGGAGTGGCCCTGGAGGTTGGAGTCACTCTGCGTGGGGCTGGCAGGGCTCTGGGGGCCCAGACCTCTGGCCTGGCTCCCCCCTCCCGGCCTTGGGCCTCTGGCCCGGCCTCCGCAGCGTGGGCCCCGGGGCCTGCGGGGCCCCCGTTTTGGAGCTGGCTTCGCGGTCAGGCAGCCATAATCTCTCCCCCGAGCCACACCAGAGTCTCATTAAAACGTGCCCCATAAATGTTAAAAAATTTACACATAAAAAAATTCCATGCATGTAACTGAAACCGTAGATTTTACAGCCTCGGTTTGAAATCTTGCATAATATATAAAACCTTGGCCCTCCACTGGGGGCCCGTAAATCAGATTTTATAAAACAAAAAGCTTTTACCTTTCAAAGGGGTTTGGGGAACTTGCAAATTTTACAAACTTTACCAACTGCCAGTCAGAGGCTGTTGGACCCAAGCAGGGATCAGCGGGCCAGGTAAGAGAGGGGCCCAGTGAGCACGGGCTGGGCACGGGAACCGGGGTGGTGTGTACCTCGGCGCAGCCAGCCAGGGGGCAGTCCAGCCCTGCCACCAGTGGCTGGAAATGGGAGGCAGAGAGGGTCAGGGTGTGGGGCTGAGGGGGAAGGGGGCAGGGGTACTTCGGTAAAGGAGGACTTTATTGCCCCCAGGGAGAAGGGAGGTGGGTGACACAGTGGAGGTGGCACCACGTTAGGAGCCAGCAGGCCTGGTTCTGGCCCGAAGTCACTTCCCTTCTCTGGGCTGCGGTGTCCGCATCCATCAAACAGACCTGCTCCTCTGTGGAGTTGCGTTTCCCCTAATGTGCGTGGGAGCAGCTGGCCAACCGGGAAGGGAAGCTCCCTCAGGAGCTGCGGCCTGGGAGCCTCTGGGCCCTGGGCAGCTCTAGGAGAGCTGGGCCAGCCGTTCCCGCAGGAGCTTGTCTGGGAGACCCGCCTGGGAGCAGGGGAAGGCTCAACATGCAAACTGCTTGGAGGAGGAGGGGGAGGCTGGAGCGGGGAGGACTCAGGATGCCGGAGGGCTTGGTGGGGCTGGGGGGAAGGTGGATTCAGAGCTGGAGGTCCCAGGGTGGGACAAAGTTTGGGGGACCCCAGTGTCCTCCTGACGACTCCATCGGTGAAAGTCAATATTCAAGGGCAGAAGAAAGCCGCCCTGACACACACACACATATAAAATAAATCTCCCAATTATCTCAGCTCATTTGCTTGGGGTCTCTCATTTTATGTCCCTGCTCCGCTGCGCAGTATATCTGTCCGGATAGAGAGTTACAGTCCGCTGGGCTACGTGTGCGGGGTTGTAAAAAATACAGATGCCAGATTAACTGGCTGTGGCGCTCGGCAGCTGATTGAGCTGATAATGACGCGATCTGACCTTTTTCTAATTTCTAATTATGTGCATTTCGGCTGTGCTGGCTACATGATTCTTGTTCTAATGACGGCCCCTGCGGTTGGCACCCCCAACCCCCTCCCCGCGGGGGACTACAAGAGGGGCGGCGAAGGGCACTGCCTGTCTCCCCAAGTGAAGTTTCGGGGGCCGGGAGGCGAGGCTGGGAAGCTAGAATGCCTTGTCTTCAAGATGCCGCATTTGAGATCGACCTTCTAGATGACATGCATTCCTAAAGGCCACTTCGTCCCACGAGCCACCTCACAAACAAACGTTTTTCATATAGTCCCTGGGCGGGGGGGGCGTGTGAGGTCTGCAGGGGAGGAAACTCAGACTCCGAGGAGCGAAGTCATCAAAGTCACAGCAGGGTAAGCGGGGAGCCCAGCCCCGGGGCTGTCATCTCTACGGGACACTCCTTCTACAGCCCCATTCACATGAATGACCCACCATCGGGGGTCACTTTGTAAAGGACATGATTGCCTAACCACTATGCCGTACAGTTGAAACTAATACAACATAATATTGACTGTAAACTGGAACTGAAAAAAATTTTAAATCATAAAAAAAAAAGAAATAGTTGACCAATCAACCAGTCCTGACTGTGGTAAACTCCTCTAGGTAGATCAGGTCCAGTGAGCGGGAGGGAAGTCCATGGATGGCTCCGCCTACTGGGCCGCCCCCAGCCAGTGCCCCGGGAACTAGGAGCTCTGCAGGGCGGGGCCTCCGTGCCAACTTCTGCAATGCGCCCTTCCCTAGGTCAGGCTTGGCGCAGCGCAGGCACTTAACGGTGGTCTGTGGGATCGAATCAAGAAACCTAATTATTTCAGCGAACAGACCTGGAGAGACCCAGGTAGTGCTGGCAAGGGGGGTGCCCAGAGTGGGACACTCTTTGTCATTTTCCAGGCTGTACGAGAACCGGAGGCTGTCCTGGTGGGCGGCACTGGGCCAGGTGTGTGAGGCTTACGTCCCCTGGACCTCTGCCTCTGAGGACGGTTTCTGTTCTCCCACACTACTCAGTCTCATTTTAGCTGTTTCCTATCAGCACAGGCCTCAGTTTCTTTTCATATCGAGTGAGGGGACAGAGCTCTGACCCCCTCCCCCAGCCCCGGTCCATGCCAGGTCCCGCAGAAATGGCTGCCTCACCCCCGGCTCCGTGACTGCTGTGGACATAGGTTCTGAAAGCCAGTTTCACTGCTGCTGTGCTAGGATTCTGATCAGTGGGCTGGCAAGGCAGGGCCAGACCAGCCTGCGCTACAGTTTGACCAGCTGGGGACCAGCATGGGGAGGGCTGTCTGGGGGCCTGAGAGACAGGGTCTGGGCTCCTGGGGAGTGTGGCTGCTCTCTCCAGCTGGGGCAGAGGGAGGCAGGGAGGGCACGGTGCTCCAAGGCTCTGGGGCACCTGCACCAACGCTCCTGAGGGCGGCGGGGGCTATATCCTCTGGCCCAGGCCTGCTCCCTCTCCGAACGCTGCCCCATTCTTTCACTGCCCACACGCCCAGGCCAGGGCGGGCTCTCCTGGTAGCTCTCTGGACTTCATAAACAGCACATTCAACCCTTGAGGGAAGCAGTGTGTGGATACCTTGCAACACAGACTAATACCCAAATAACCGAAATCTGCTCGGCAGTGCACCGTGCCATGCCTGTGTGTGGTCGGGCATGTTTCTTTCTTCCTATCTGGAGCCACACCTGCTTTTTCGTTTCCCTTCTGGGAGCAGGTACCAGCTGACCTATGCACGCGAGAGGTCAGCACTGGAATCAATCAATTTGTGGAAGAGAGTTTTGCAGAGTTTTCAAATTCACTGTGCATCATCTGGGTAATCCACCCACAGAAAAAATCAAGAATCACGGCTAATGATTCCAGGAAGACCGTTTTTCACAATGAATGAACAGAGCACCCTCTCTCTCTCTCTCTCTCTCCGTCTCTCTCTCTCTCTCTCAGCAGAATTCACGGGCCTTGCTGAGAATTTCAGATGCCATCTAAGCTGGTGACTACCAAGCCTTGATAACTGCAATCGCCCAGAAGACTTACAGCTGTAGACTGACCAAATGTTCAGATTCACAATTTCCTGGTGGTCAGGCCCAAGAATGTTTATTTTTTAAAAAAGCTGTGGGGACCCTGGCCGGGTGGCTCTGCTGGTAGGAGCATCATCATGTGCACCAAACGGTTTCGGGTTTGATTCCCAGTCATGGCAGGCACCTAGGTTATGGGTTTCATCCCCAGTTGGGGCGCGTACAAGAGGAAATTGATTGATGTTTCTCTCTCACATCAATGTTTCTTTCTCTGCCTTCCTCTCTCTAAAATCACTGGGCATATCCCAGGTGAAGAATAAAAATAATAAAAATAATGAGAAGCTGTAGTGATGATCTGGGTGACAAGCTAGTTTCTGAAGCCTGATCTTCTCTGTCCCCTAAATGGGCAGGATTATCTGCTGGCCTCCTTTGCAACACGACTCTGCCTCCAGGTCTTTCGAGCTACCGCTGCGCTTGCATACGCTGGCCACCTCATCCTCCGCACAGCAGCGCCCAGCCATCAGCTCCTCTCTGGGCAGCCCGACAGGCTTCCTAACACGCCGGGACTCCGGCCCTCGGAACTGCTGCCCCAGACAGGTGGGGTGTGGTGACCCTCCTTTCCTCCTGTCTGCGCTGCAAGAGGCTGGGCAGGGGAGGCGGGTGCCACTGCAGGCAGAGACCAGAGAAGGGGAGAGCTCCGGCAGAGTGCCTGTGCCTGCAGCTCTTGGTTTGAGGGACTTAGAGGTGGTTCTCAGCTGCTGGGGGGCGTCCAGTGCCTGTCCCACGGCGGGCATGCAGCACTTTTTTGTTGAGTGGATGAATGAAAGGATCCTCTCTAGGGCATTTGGAGGGGACCCCGGCGGGGAGGAGACCCTAGCTGGGGTGGGGCTGGAGGGTCTTTACCAGATTGTCCAGTTCCGGGTCGTCGCTGAAGAAGGGTTTGTGCTCCTGCTCCTGCTGGTGGACGAAGTTCTCGATGTCCACGTCGAAGCTGGCGGACGTGATGCACTCAGAGCCCTGGGTGGCCTGTTCACATTTCTCAAACAGCAGCGTCAGAAGCGGGAAAAGAGGGTGCCTGTGGGGGACAGCAGGAGCTCACACATGTGCACACAGACTCCAGCTGCCGGCTGAGCTCAGAAGCTATGAGGGTCCCTTTCCCACACTCCCATTGTTTCTTCTCCCAATGTCCCCCTCCTTGAGAATGTCCCCAGTCCCCATGGTCAGCCTAGATGGCAGCATTTCACGTGCTGGTGGGGAAGGTCCTGTCTCTAGTGCCTGGGGCCTCAGAGGGCCTGCCTTCCTCCCCACGGGGCTGGGGGGCTAAGTTTTCTCTTTGGTACAATAAGCTATGTGGACATTTAATGAGGATGATGGGTACAACCCTTCAGAGAAGTAGGTGTCCATTTCTAGTTCAAGGTAAACTTCTGGGTCAAGGTCAATCCAAGAAAGAAATGTGGGAAGTGTCCAGACAAGTCCTGGACGTGAACATTAGTGGTGGGACACAAACCCATTCCTGGCTGCCTGGAGTCAGCTAAGGGCGGCACCTGTGTGTCGGTGAGTGTATCCAGGGCACGTGTGTGAGCCTGAATTCTGGCCCGCACCAGACGGACAGGTGTCTCCACCTGTCCTGCGTCTGTGAGTGTACTCAGTTCAGGTTGGACACCCCAGAGCGTGAAACCAGCTCCCTGCACTTGTCCAGCACCGCACGCTCAGCATGTCTGTGATGAAATGATGATTTGCGTGGTTATTTGCTCACTGTTTTCCTCCAGGACTGCCCTGTCTGAATGGTCGTTGTATCCTCAGGGCCTTGCTCCATGTGCTCATGGCGGGCACTTGCTCTTTGGTGGATGGCAATGACCCAGGGGGTGAAGAGCATGTGAGCGAGCGTGGGTGGTGCGTGGTGTGGTGCTGGGGTGTGTGATGTAGGTGGAAGGGCTTCCCTCACTGGCTCTGTGCATCTTAGCTGAGATGTCACCCACTCTGGGAAGCTCCCTAGACTGCCCCTCCCCCATGAGGTGTGGCTGGCTCCCTCAGCTCTTTGCTTTGTCGCCTGCCTTCCTCACTAGAATGTGAGCTACATAGGGGCAGGAGGCAAGCCCACGTTACTCATCACTGTCTGTTCAGAGTCTAGCAAAGATATGTGGGTCCCATTCGTCTGTGTGTCTATGTGCGTATGTAAGTGCATCCCACTCTCATTTGTCTGCAGTGCATGCGAATTGCTGTGGGTTAATACCCAGCACGTGTGCCTGCATTTGCATGGGCTGTTGACACTGGAGCCCCAATTCCTCTCCTGGTGGTCCCCATAATGCATCTGCATGCTGGGACGGTAGGAAGCAGGAAGCACGGGCCTGGGCCCTGGGCCTCTGCAGAAGGGGTGTTCTGGCCAGCACGGTCCAGTAGCCCTTCTGTAATGATGCAAATGTTCTCTGCCTGCTGTCCAGCATGGTAGCCACCAGCTAGTCAAGGCCAATGGATGTTTAAAATATGACTGTATGTCTAGGCCACTGAATTTAAATTTTATTTAATTTTAACTCATTTTCATTTCAGTAGCCACCCGTGGCTCGTGGCTACCACACTGGAAAGCACAGTGAGACCTGAAAAGGCAAACAGACTGTGCCTCGCCCTGCAGCGCCCTGTGACTAAACGCACGGAGAGGGGAACCAAACACCCCACCTACACAGTGTTCGACGGTGCAGCGGGCAGCCTGTGGGCCTGACCCCTTTTGGGGTCCTAATAATTCCAGGCAAAATACAGAGGCGCTAAGCCCCACCCACACTCAAATCCATGCGTGCTGGTCTTCCTACTCAGGCTCGGGGGCAGTGGGGGAGAAGGGAGGCAGATCCCTGCTTCGCATGAGCTGCTTGGCTTGCAGAGCCTGCCTCTGGACACTCTCTCCCCGACCCTTGTTTTGGGGGCTGATGCAAAAGCGGGGGGCCCCAAGGCTGCAGGCTGGGTTATAGACGGGAAAAAAGGGTCAGTGCAGAGGGTGGCCCATCTGCGCCCTGAGCCTCTAGACGGTCTATCCAGCACCCCCACGAAGCTGGTAGGGAAAACACTGGATTCACTTAGCTATCCGGCTGAGGACAAAGAGAAACCAGGTGAATGGGTTAAACTCCAGTGTAAGTCTTCATTTGCAGCCACTAATACCACAGCATATTATAGTCTAATCTAACCTGATCCCAGTTTAATGCAAGATTCTCCTGGCCCTGAGCAGAATACCAAAGGAAGCCTCGGTGGCTGTAATTTAAGCAGAGCCTGCTGTGGTTTAGCTGAGGGACATGAAAGGCAAATTCCAGACGGTGTTATGAATTATTGCGCCTGATGAACCTTCCTACTCTCAACAGATGCCTGCTGCCATTTAAACAGCCACTAGATCAATTAGGAATGAAAGGCACAAATCGACTCTGTACAAGGGCACTAAATTACCAGGAACTAATAATCCGCAGCACAGTGCCAGGTGGTGGGGGCACCCCCGCCGGTCACCACTCCTTCCCTCCTCACGCCGGAGGGAGGGTGGGCAGCTGCCGAACGAAGAGGGGCCGGTGTGCACGCACGTGCGTGTGTGTGCACCTGTCGGGAAGAGCCGGTGTGCGTGTTGTGTAAATGTGTGATCTGGTGTGTCCCTGCCATGTGCACACACGGTGTTGGATCTGCATGATGTGGGTGCATGTGGGTCAGGTGTTGGGAGCTGGGGTGCGGGTTTCGTGTACTGTGAGCACAGAGCACGTGTGCCCTATGTTGCGTACAGTGCTCATGCCTGTGCCACGTGTTTTCTGTATGTGCTTTGTGTGGGGATTGAGTGCTGTGTGTACACAGCGTGAGTGGCGTGTGGGGTGGGGAAAGAGGGACCAGCTGGTGCCTGCGTCCCCCACGAGTTAGCACCAGAGTTGGGGTGGGGGCTGGAGGGTGGGCTCCTCTGAGGAGGCGACCTTTAAGCTAAGCCTTGAACGATGAGGAGGTGGTCATGCAAAAATCTGAGGCAGAGGCATTCCAAGCAGGAGAAAGAGTGAAGCACTTGAGATAGGAACGAACTTGGCCCCTTTCTGGAACAAAATCTAGACAAGAGTGGCTGGAACAAGGTGGACAGGAGGGGAGTGGAGGGAGATGACGGTGAGGAGATGAGCAGGGGTCAGACCGTGGGTCTCAGACAGAGCTGGCTTTGGCGGGGGTGGGGCGCAGGGGTGGAGGCGTTGTCACAAATGCTGGGAACAAGGGTGCCCTTCGTGCAGAACCACGGTGCGGGTCCTTATCATGAGCCTCTCACTTCTGGGTGTCAGATCTCCCCAGAATGTGTGTGTGTTGGGGGGCGCATATCTGAGGGTATTTTCTGGGGCTTCTGCGATCTCTCAGAGGAAGGAAACATGCTTTCCACCCCACCCCTGCCCCACCACATTAACCAGGGGCCCGTGGGGCACAGAGCTGGCTTCAGGGATGCTGGCATAGCTCCCCGTCTCCAGCCCCTCCCACCCTGAGCCAAACCATCAGCTCCCAAATCCTCCCTTCTCGCCCCCCACCCTCTCCAGGCTCCTTCCCCTGGTTCCACCTACCCCAGCCCCTGGGTCCCTGAGCCCAGGAGTTCAGGTGGCACCTGAGCTCAGACACATTTTTCACGTGGACCGCAGCCAGGGGCAGTGACCGCCTGTGGCACTGGTGCTCTGCCCACCTGGAACCTTCCATAAATCCAGACTGTTTTCGGGCACCTGCTACCTCCAGGGTAGGGGCCGCTGAGACACCATGCACCACCTCCTGAGAAACAGGCTCAGCTCTAAGCCTGGTCCCAGCCCTATCTCCAGCCTATCCCCAGCTGCCCAGCCCACAGACGCTGATGGATCACCCTGTATTTCTAAGCCACCCACCAACACCACTGCTAAGGCTGGAGGTGAGGCTGGTAGCCATGGTCAAAGACAGGGACGCTGAGAGCTGGGGTCTTAGTCACCTGGGACACGAATGCCAGGCACCGGATAGGAAGAAGGAATTCCGGGTAGGCCTGGGATACGGGCCCCCCTGAGCTCTGGTTTATCCGACTTATATGGGTGTGAGGAGTTCCTGCTGGTGCTATCCAGATCCCTCTCCTCAGAGGCTAGAAGCAGGAATGTGGGAACTCGGACCCAGGGCCCAAAGATGATGGACAGGACGTGAGAGATGGCCGCCGGACCCTACTTCGGGGACCCGAGGGCCCCGGACCTCCGCATGAGCTCGCCTTCTCCCTGTGCTCGCTGCCCCCCACTCCATGTCGCCTCGGCCCAACCGCCCCTCCACCCCAATCTCTTTTAAGCCGTTCAAAATTTGGAGGAAATAAATCTCACTGCACCAGTTCGGCGAGATTTGGAGCCTCGTCAGTGCAGAACAAATAAAAGGAGTGAACTGGCATGACATTTTACTGCAGAAGAGAGGTCGTTTCCAGCCACTAATAAAAAGGATTTGACACAGACTAATAAAGAGAAATGAATTTCTCTAATGGACTAATTTAGCCCACTCAGCACTGTGCCCGGCTGCGGGGAGGGCAGGCGGAGCCGGGGCAGGGAGGGTGGCGCGGCCGGAGGAGAGGGCAGGAAGAGATGATCTCAGATCACACTTTACTGTGTCCTTTTTCTTCCCCGAGCCGCCCCACCCGCCCCACCCTCACTGCCTCTCCCCAGGACACCTGAACCCAAATCAGCTCAAGTGCGCAGTTCCTGACAACAATCCACGGAAGTAAGGGACCCCTCCCTCCACTGGATTCCAGCCCTGCACGAGTTTCGGGAGGTGATTAAGCCGGTTATGTGGATTTCTAAAGGGGTTCAAGCCTTGGCTTGGTTTAATTACTTCTGGCATTTCTGCCTTCGCCAGCCTGGGATGCCCAGTTTGGGGCCGGATGGGTAGGAGCAGCCGTCCCCCCAACACACACCTGGGCCCCAAGCTGGGCAGGATTTTGGCTGAAGCCCTTTGTGGAGGTGCATGGCGCCCTCTCTGTAGCAGCAAGACCCCTTGTTCAAGCCCCAGTTTTAATGCAGCGCAGAGGGATCCCCTACACATGCATGCACACACGCATGCACACGCACACACACTCCCGGGAAGACTTCCGAGAGAGTCCCG